GAGTAGTATTCCACCCTGTAGATGTGCCACAGTGTATCCATTCGCCTGGTGAGGGGCATCTGGATTGTTTCCAGCGTGGGGCTGTTATGGAAAAGCTAGCAGCCTTCTTCTGTAGAACTGTGTCCCTCAGCAACAGTTGCAAGCACATCCCAGGCACTCAATAATGATTAATTAACCCATTTGTGACTTTTGTATTTGAAATGTATTGTTAGATTCCAAGATGTTTAGTGTACTTCCAATTTCCAAGAGACGTGTGCCAAAGGTTGTTAACGTCAGTTCTGAGAATTCTGAACACATTTTCCACAGAGAACATTCGGTCCTTCAGGAAGCATTTACTGAGACCTGCCTGTTTGAGCACTATTCTGGAGCTAGAGAGAGCAGGGTAGGAAGGGCCTGTGTCCTCGGATGCCCACGGCCCTGTTGGGGAGACACCTGTGAACTCTCAGGGTGCAATTCTCTGGGAGCTGTAAGACCCCTGCAGGAGCCTGGGAGAGCTGGGGCGGGGGGGGGGGGGGGGGGCAGCTTCTCAGAGGACCTAGTTTGGTCTCAGAGGCTGAGCCAGAGCTGTAGTGTTTCTGCTCACAAGTGGTCACCAGGTGCTGGAGACGTGTGTGGACTGGCAGTCTGTAAGAACTGGCAGTGCGTGTCTAGACCAAAGACAGTCAGCTCAGAATGTAAAGACACCATGTAGGCCAAACAAAACAGAAGCTGAGGGCCACTAATTTTAAACCTTGTTTTAAGTGGTAGCGCCATCACAGACCTACTTTGCATAGTGTGGCTGAACTCTCGTGTTAATAGGGACCTGAGCACCCTCTGTAACAGAAGATTCATTGCTCTGCTCCTACTGAGTACATCATATGCCCTGAGTTATGCCAGCCAGCGAGGGGATGCAGGGCTGTCCTAGGCCAGGGGGAATTCTCTGATTAGGATCGTAACTTTCTTTTAGGAATAACCCAGGGTCTTTAAGACCAACTGGTAGAACTCCATCTGTTTCACAACCAAAAGAAAGGCCTCTGGCCTTTGTGAGTCCACTAGCTCTATTTGTAAAATATGAGCGGTTCTCTGCTAGATCGGTATCTTTCATTAACTGTTTTCTGAGCACTTATTCTGTTACTTGGTTCAAGCACCATTGCGTTGTCCCATTTACCCTAATTTGTTTGTTTGTTTCCATGGCTGCAGACTCTGCTTGGCCCCAATCAAGCATCCTTCAAGAAACATTTATTGTACCCCCACTGTACTCTGGGACTGGATACAAAGATTTTTTAAATAACCGGTAGATAACATTTTGGAGAGATTTCTAGGTGCCAAGATGATTGTAAATGCTTCACATATGTTAACTCCGCAGCCCCATGAGCTATGTGGATTCCATCATTAGCCCCATTTTACAGACGAGGAAATGTTGATGAGCGGCCTCAGAGTCTAAATTTTAGCAAACCCCTTATTTGATTCTGATGCAAGACCATGCTTTGAGAATCACTGGTCTCTAGGTCCTTCTGAATCACTGTTTTCCTTCAGCAGGCAGACTAACATATCGTTAAATTAAATCATTTCTTAAAAATCAGCCAGAACTTTTTGGTAGATGGGTATTTGGTGCTATTATTTCAGGATATAAGAATTGAACAGACCTATCCAACCTTGAAAAGGAAGGAGATTGTGACACATGCTACAACATGGATGAAGCTTGAGGACATTATGCCAAGTGAACTAAGCCTGTCGCAAAAAGACAAATACTGTATGATTCCATTTATACGCGGTTCCCAGAGTAGACAAATTCATGGAGACAGAAAATAGAATGGAGGTTGCAATTGACTGGGGGGCGGGGAGGATGCAAAGTTAGTGTTTAATGGGCGGGGTTTCAGTTTGGGAAGATGAAAAGAGTTCTGGAGATGGATGGTGGTGATGGTTGTACAGCAGTGTCAATGTACTTAATGCCACGGAATAATAATAATAAAAACTGTATGTGGAGCGGACACTGAGCAGACCAGCCTCCCCTCACTTTGATAATTCTGCTTGCTTCTGAGACACCTGGAGATTTCTTCACCTTTGATTGCTTTACCTGCTGTGTGACAAGCAATCGTTTTACACCTGCTCAGTGACAAACAAACACAGTTCTACCTACCTGCACTTCTTAAACCCTAGTAAGCTCTCGGTGTTATTTAAAACAAGAAAATATGGACATGTGGCCATTCCTCCAGCGATGAGTAATGGCTTCCCTTATAGTAAACTTACACCTGGCAGCTCTGTTCCTAGTAGCTTTTTATTGCACTGAAGTGTTGGAATGAAGTCTTTTAAAAAGACATTTAAAATAACAGGAAGCAAATTAAAGTTTAAACACATACGGTGCTGTCGAGGCCAAGCTGTCAACGCAGGTGGCCCTCGGAGGGAGGGGGCATGTCTGCATGGCTGAATTTGCACGTGCACCGGTGGTGACAAGTTTCTTTGAGCACTAATTGTAAGAAGCATCCAGAATTCAGAAATATTTAAATGTGGGAAATAATTATTTACCAGTCATGGTTCTTAGTAACAAATCAAAGAAGCTGATTCTGGCTGACTTAAGCAGAAAAGGAATTTTTCAGAAGATCAGCTTGTTCACAGAGTTAATGGGAAGGTTGGAGAGCTAGGCTCAGAAACTAGGTTAGGAAGCCACCACCACTGGACCTCAACTCAGCCGCCTCCACCATGAATAAATTCTGCTTTTCCCTGTGTCTTTGCGTCATTCCCTCAAGATTCAGTACCCTGCTCTGGTGGAAGGACAGGACTGTCTGATTCTAGACCACCTGTCCACACCCCAGCCTGCTAACAAGCAGGGCCAGGGATTGTCTGCCACCGCTGCAGCTTTTTTTGACCCCGACAAAAGGAAGGGTGTTCAGCAAAATACAACTCATGCCCACTCCAGCGTACACCCCGGACACAGCATTTTCTTTAATCTGTTTCTGAACCTTCAGTTACCCGATTTTGATCCCAAAGGAGACCAAGTAAAGAGTGTTGGGTCAGAGAGAGAAGCCGACCATCCCTACTGGAAGAGCAAGGTCACATGCAGGTCCTTCTGCTGGGTGGTTCCACGGCATCTTCCCGGCACCTGGAGAACAGTGCCGGCGCTCATCAGCTGAGGGTCTGCTACCCGGCCTCTGGGCCTTCTGGCGTGCGAGTCCGTCTCAATGACAGGCCCACTGACTGCTGCCTTGGGAGGCAGTTTGCTCTGGCCTCACAGGGCCAGAACGCAGGGTAAAATCTTGACTCTGAATCGTTACACACCACTGTGTGACATGTTCAATAGGCCTCTGATTTTCCTCTGTTCTAAACTGGCTACTGACAGCGATGAAAATAAACTCTGGCCCGCATTCCGAGAACTACCTTTGTGCTCCTTATCCCCAGGGAATCAGGGCATGCTACAGAGAGACAGAACAGAGAAGTGAGGAGCGTGAGCTGGAGGTGTGCACACATGTGGGGAGGCTGAGTACCACGTTCGGGGCAGTGGTTCCCTCGGGGGAGGAGGCTGAGGAGGAGCTTGGGGAGGTGTACACGGGGACTTCAGCGCTTCTGAATGTCTTGTTTTCTTTATTTAGAATGTGTCTGAATCCACTCTGCTCGCCCAGCTATTCTCCTTACTCCTGTTCTTCAAACTCATGGAAACTTTAGGCCACAGACCCCCTTATTTTTGCCTGATAGCTCGTTCTCCTCTAGACTCTTTCTCAGCCACATTCAACCCCCCACTCTCCCCATCCCCAGGGTCAACCAGCATCCAGAACTGGTGTTAACATTTTTGTATTTGTGCTGTGGTGTGTATCCATAGGCTGTTGAGTATTGCTTTGTTTTTTAACATTTTACATGAATGTTATCGTACTGTACATAGCCCTTTGACTCTGATTTTTTACTCACCAGCTTTTTGGAGATTTGCCTGTGTTGGTGAGTGAAAAATCTAGTTCACCCTCACTGCTATATAGTATTTTCTTATATAAATAAACCAGACAAATTTTTAAAGGTATCTGAAGCAACAAGGCCAAGTGTCAAAATGTATTCACGTTACAAGGTGGGTGTATCAGCGTTCATTCTGTTATTCTCTAGACTTTTCTATGTGTTTGGAAGTTTTCAAAATCTAAGAAAAGACTGACTCCACAGCTGGTCAGACCGAGATTAAAAATAAACCTGTGGGACCGGCCTCCTCTTGTTTGCTTCATGGGACGCTACCTCCCCGGGGAAATTCCTGAAAGTCCTGGACCACAGGCTGACAGGGGTGTTTATTTAGCTGCACAATTTGGAGCATCCTGGGATGTGGCCAAAGCGAAATAAACAATTTGTTGTGGGCCTGGCCATTTTAAAAAAGAAATTGGCCACAGACCATTTGACAGAATGGCTGTGAGACATGTTTTAAATATTTACAACATACTTAAGATAAAAATAGTCCAAATGATAAATGTTGGTCACAGTTTCAGCCAGGCTGACCTTTGACCCCCTTAACACTCTTAAAAACTTGGGTTAAGAGAAGGCGATTCTTCTTTCGTTGTGCTTTCTGGACACCCCGTGGGACTCTGAACGGCCTCCAGGTTTTCTTCCTTGTCCATCTCTGGTACTTTCAGAAAAGTGAGACTTTGACAGAAGTAAGAGCTGTTGACCCATGGCCTGCAGTTTTGCAGAGCCATTGATCAGTTTTTCCATTGATCCGAAGGACTGTACTAGGTGAAGTAAGAGACTTATGAGGACGAAATGAAATTACAGATATGGAAGTGAGCAATGCCCAATCAGAGTGACCTTGAGCCCCTTTTTACTTCTATTTCTTCCTGGGGAAGGGCTCCCAGGATCCCCAGCATTAACTCGATACACCCAGCCCAGGGAGGCCCCGTTGGACATGATTTTCAGGTCCTGAGGCCTCCACTGCCTCCAGCGTGGAGACGGGGCTCCCTCCCTGGCAGCTGCTGGAGAACCAGATGATGCCCAAGCCCTCCTGGTAAACACATCTCCACGGCACCTGCCTGCACTGACGTGCTCCTCTCTCCACCCAGGGTACGACTTCTGCCAGGTCCTGCAGTGGTTCGCTGAACGGGTCGACAGGATCATCTTGCTCTTCGATGCTCACAAACTGGACATCTCGGACGAGTTCTCGGAGGCCATCAAGGCCTTCCGGGGCCAGGACGACAAGATCCGCGTGGTGCTGAACAAGGCCGACCAGGTGGACACGCAGCAGCTGATGCGGGTCTACGGGGCCCTCATGTGGTCCCTGGGCAAGGTCATCAACACGCCCGAGGTGCTGCGCGTCTACATTGGCTCCTTCTGGGCGCAGCCCCTGCAGAACACTGACAACCGCCGGCTCTTCGAGGCCGAGGCCCAGGACCTCTTCAGGGACATCCAGAGCCTTCCTCAGAAGGCGGCGGTGCGCAAACTCAATGACCTCATCAAGCGAGCGAGGCTGGCCAAGGTAAGCCCGGAGACGCCCTGGGCGGCAGCCTGGGGCAGGGGACCCTTCCCACTCTCTCCTCCAAGGGAAGGTGGTGGTAGGCCAGGCTCCATTCCAAGAGCCTTAGGGAATGGAACGTGGAACAGTGTCCGTGTTGAGATTTTGGCCCCTAGCTCTGTGATCTTGGGCAAATGACTCAACCTTTTCATACCTGTTTTCTGATCTGTAAAATGGAGCTGGAAGAGCATGTCACATGGTGTTTGTAAGGAGCTGATGTGACAGGCCTTGCAAAGTGCTTGGCGATGCACCTGGTGCTCAGGGAGTGATCAGCGTGCTCCCTACCTGGAAGCTGCTATTCTGTTAGGTCAATGGACACGTAACCAGCCAAATAGGAGAGACTAGTAGGGTACTGAGATGCCACCACCAGTCACCCTGTGCCTAATGCATAGATCCCCGTGTCACCGCATGGATCTGGAGGAGCCTGGGAGGAAGGCTGGCTCAGCCTACCCGCTGGGTGCGTTGGTTGGGGTTGCACCACATCCGCATTCTGGGTTGCGGCCTGTGAGCACGCCCGCTGTGGCTCCCTGCTCCCCCACCGCAGAGCTGAGACTTTCAGCCGCCCCACGAGTTTGCCCAAGAGGGGCCAGGGGTCGCCTGCTGCCCGCCCTCGAGCAGTCTAGTCAATTCTGTTACATCTCTGAAGAGAGAAAAGCGTGTGACTCCTCTAAGAAAAAGTATAAAAAAAAATAGTTCTTTAAAAGCTATGTGTACATTTCATAAAATCATCTTCCTCTAATGCTGCGAGCGCCTGCAGAGTTTATCTAGTCCCAGGGATCGTCGGAAGCACCCAGGAGCTTTAACCAACGTAAATTTCCAGGCCCTGCCCCAGAGCCTCTGATTCACATGTGTGGGGGCCTGTCCCTGTGTACACATATGTGTGCATGCATATGTGTGTGTATGTGTGTGTGTGTGGAAAGCTCCCCAAATGATTCTCATGATCAGCCAAGTTTGGGAAGCAGAGGTCTGTCCTGACTCCCTAATTTTACAAAGACAAAATGAGTGAATTCTCCAGGGTCACCTAACCCGTTAGGGACAAAGCTAGGACTAAGAGACAGCCCTCCTGGCTCTCATTCCAGCCTTCTGCTTCGGCCTTGTCACTTCAGCTAAAACCAGTCCACAGGGCTGCCTCTCCACATCTGCTAGTACCCTGGTCAGGTCAGCTCACTTCCTCTTTGTCTGCTGGTGGCAGAGAACTTGTGTCCCTTCCCACATCCTCTTGCTGCACAGTGAGCAGCTTCTGATCTGGCCTTAGGGCCCAGCAGGCCTGCCACTACTTTGCCTCATTCAGGCGACAGTTTCTCAGCAGCCCTGGGCAAAGGCCGGGGAGCCTAGTCTGGTGGAGGAGGTGGCGCCAAAGCCCCCTGTTACAGAATGTCGAGCTGTATGCTGATTGAGGGGTGGACACTGTGCTCTGAGGAGGGGGACTGGCCAGGGGAGGCAGGGAGGGCCTTGCTGAGGGTGACCGCCAGGCAGGTGACCAGCCTTCCATCACCTCCTCATTGCTCCTCCGTGGACTCTGTCTTCATGCCAGTGTCCCCGCACAGCAGTGTCTCTCCTAGGTCCAAAGAGACCCATCCCTGGCTGCCGCGGCCCCCTGCATAGTACCTCAGTCTGCTCTTTCCCCCTCTCCTCAACTTGCGTCCCAGCGCGGCCTCATGCACCCCTCCCGTCTCGCTCAGCCACGCTGTAGTCACTGGCACCCCTGTGAGTCACTGCTCTTTATCCTTTCTGCCTGGCACAGGCTGCTTCCTTTCCAGAACTAGAGCCACTTTTGTCCAGTTCTGCAAGGCAGCTGTGTTAACCAGTCTGTAGGTCCACATATCTGCAGCTCTCCCAAAATGATTTCCCTCTCCTGCTTGTCTTGGGCCTCATGCCTGGTGGCAGGATGTCTGGGTTTGCCCACTCCATGCCCACTTTGGCCTGTGGTTTCTCTCTTCTCCCGCTGGTATGGCTGGATTTAACCTTCAGGGTACACAGTACCCAACATTTTTTTTTTATAACCAAGGCTGATAAATCATGTCATAGCCTTTGCAGATTTCAAGGGTTTTTTGAACAATTTTTTAAATGCCTGTGGGCATTTTTAATTTGCCACTCATTGCCGAGGGCCTAGTGACTCAAGACACAGCTGTGTTCAGTCATATAAATAAATGTAGAGCAGGGGGCTTACTGGGAGTGGCAAGACCGTGGGGCTTCCCTGCCATCCTGGAGCATGAGGCCCTGTGAAGGGGTAGCATGGCCTCTGTTCAGAGAGGCACAGAGTGCTGCTGTGTACAGACGCCGGGAATAATGCAGCCCTTGTGTAGAGGCGGGGGGCGGCCAACTTGCTGAGCTTACTTCTAGGAAAAAAGCTGGTCCTTTTTTCCTTCCTAAGAATAGTATCTGGCTTGTTCCTTTTCATAAAGGAAAATGTTTGAAGGACAGATGTTTCCAGCCTGAGCTGCTCCGTGCCAGTGTGCTCCTGGGGTACCACGACCCTGCGAGGGGGACAGGAAACAGTCTCGGGTGGACGAGACGCAGAACTCAGCACAATGGCCTCGGCCACTAACCGCTGCCGTCAGCTTACACCATCTGCAGTTCTGTGGCCATTTGTGAACTTGTCGTTGCTTCAAAGGAGAAGGAGTCACCTGAGTTTTTCTCTTTGCCGTATTTATAGTTCCTAAAAATGCTCTTTGATTTTGGTGTATAAAACTTCATTTCTCTTGATCCAGTTTTCCTTTTGTAAGCCAACCCTCACTGTTCCAGAAGCTCTGTGATTTCTATCACAGGTGTTATTTTGTCTGATCCTGTCAATAACTGTGAAAGTTGAGCATTTTCTTAATTTCTCACGGGAGGGAACTGAAGCTCAGAGAGGCGAAGTAACTTGCCCAAGGCTTCACAGCCTGTAAGTTGCAAAATATAGATTCAAACCCCAATCAGTCTTGACTCCTTCATCCAGAAAGTGTTCCCCTGAAATCCAGAGTAGACGGTATCTGTCGCTCTTTGCTATGTCCTTGCTTTCTGCATGAATCTGTCATTCTTTTTATTCCATAAAATTCTCCATCAACATAAACCCTACAAAGTGCAGAGGTTTATCGAGCTGACATTTTGAAAGCATGCGAAGGGTAAGTTTTCAGATGTCACCTAGGAGATGTCAGATCTGAGTTGGGGTGTGGAGTATGTCTATAAAACACCATAATCAGGCAGAATCCATGGACCATCTAGAAATAAAATAAGTTTGTCTTTAACGTCCTGCTGGGTTCTACTGTAATCAGACTCAAGGTGTCATGAAGATGACACTTTAATGATGTGAAAAATGGCACCCTTGCCAAAGCTGTCTTGAAATTTAATGATTTCCGTGCTTTTTCTGTTTACATGTTTTTTCACAACTCTCTCTTTCAAGGAACAGGAAACCTTTAGAGTGGGTTTGTGGTTAGCCCCAAAGATCACACCTTCTGATGTCCGTGAACATCCTTCTCTGAAGACTGTTCATAATCTAAGATGCCAGTCAAGGTTCATCTTGTGATTCTTTAGTGTAAGCTATTTGAGGAAAGCCCAAAAAACAGTCTAGAAAATATAAGTTAGTTTTATTCAGCTATAATTAAAATAGCCAAATTAAAGAAACTCCGAGTAATAGTATTTTATGGGATAAGTTAAACAAAAGTAAAAAACAAGGCAAGTTCACCGTTGGACCTCAGCCTTTATAAACACGTTGCCCAAGGATAGGAAAGGTCCTCCCCATCTGGAGATTTTTTCCAACAAAAAATGAGTCAACATTTGAGGAAGGAACAACTAAAAATGAGGATGAAAAGGCGAGGTCAGTGATTTAGGGAGTTTACTATAGTTCTGTGGAGTTAGTTTTGTCTTCAAAGCATGTTCTCCTCTTAGTCACGTGTAACGTGCAGAGCCCAGCCTTCCGCTCCATCTGCACTGCCAGTTCCTTCTGTGGGGAAGCTAGGCATTTTGAGAATCACCAAATGGACCTGGACTAAGCTGTGTTGAGAATCATTCTACAGTGGCTGATGATGACCCCTTTAATGCCTAGTCCACCAAAGCAGCTCAGTCAGGGCCGACCCTGTGGCATAGTGGTTAAGTTTGCACACTCCACTTCAGCGGCCTGGGGTTCACCAGTTCAGATCCCAGGCTCGGACCTACACACCACTCATCAAGCCATGCTGTGGCGGGTGTCCCACATATAAAATAGGGGAAGGCTGGCACAGATGTTAGCTCAGGGCCAAGCTTCCTCAGCCAAAAGAGGAGGATTGGCGGCAGATATTAGGGCTTATCTTTCTCAAAAAACTAACAAACAAAAACAGCTCAGTCAGCAGCCCCAAGCTGCTGTGAATGTGTGTCAGTGCTTGCGTCCGTGTAGGAAGCCTGTCTCTTTGAAGGTCAGTGATTGGGTGGGCCACCTCAGTCCCCTCTAAGGTTCTTCAGGGTCACGTATGCTATTGGTGCTAGCTTTGTTTCCACAGAATAACAAACCCCTGCTTGAGTGGGAACCAACCAGCCGCTTTTCTCTGCCTCTCGCAGTCTCAAACTCTTACTACCACATGGGTTCATCTTTTGGGTCTTTAATTTATGAAGTGGATTTTTTATATCATCATAAACCCACTTTTAAAATATGCTGATCCCCTGATGTTAAATGCTCTATGCAAGTTTCCAGCTGAGCCTACAAAGACACAGGTCTCCCACAGGTCGTGGTAAGCTTGCAGATGAGGCTGCCCCCGGTGTAGAACTGTGTTTTCTCAGCCTGACTTTCCCCAAACTGCTCCCCAGTATCCAAATTCCGTGAGCATTTCCATTGCTACTGACCATGAGCACTGGAAGCTGCCAGCACTTGCTGCTAGGGGTTGCCCTCCAAGCCAGGGTGAGTTTATCCACTCTCATTCTGAGTACATGCTTCTCAGTCTTGCGTATGTATAAACACTTGTCTCTGGACACGATTAATGAGATTGTGGCAGAGTGTGCACATGAACTACAAATTTGTGTTCATTTACAGGGGAGGACATCTCTTTCTGCTCATTGAGTTACCAGCCCAGGGAAAAATTGACTTTCTGATCCATTTGATTTACTCCCAGCCCTCACCCTTGGATGAGTTGGGGCTTTTCCAGTTTTATACAAGGCAAAGGGCGAATTGGACAAGATAAGAATGTTCGAAAGCCTCCAGGGTTCAGTGTCATTCACTTGTGAAGGAAGCATGTGGGACCCTAATTCATCATATTACTATTCAAATATATAGAGTTTGTTAGTTATTCAGTGAGGACTAAGTAGCCACAAGCCTTCTCTGGTGTTACTACCCCTCCAGCTGTTGGCCTTTGACTATTAGTCAATGACATTTTTCACTCCTCCTGCTAGTAGACAAAGTGCAATCACATGCGTGATCTCTTTTGATTCTCCTAGTAACAAGCCTGTGAGGTGAGGGTGTGATTTCCAGTTCGAGGATGAGCAAGCTGAGGTGGGAATTAGATGACTCATGCAGCTCAGTGAGTGGACGGTGGTGGCAGGGCCTTACCCTGACCTTCCACACTAGGTCTCGTCCTGCCTCTCCCGCTCCCTTTTCTCCTCTCTTCTCCTTCCTATTCCTTTTCTCCATTAGTTTTCTCTCATTATAAGAACAAAAGTTCTCACACTGTTTCCACCTCCTTCCCTGGGGACATCGCCAGGTCTGGCCCCACTCCTGCATTTATTTTGAGAGGCGTCTTCAACACATTAGGGAGCAGTGAGCTTTTGAAGTTGACTGGGAATTTCAGCCATCCAGGCCGTCCCCAGTGTTTACCAAGAGTCCTTAGGAAATTATGAGGTGCCGTCCTGCCAGAAGATTGCAGCCTACCCACATCCTGTGTGGCGTTCATGATGGTGTGTGCCATGACGTGTCTGTTTCGTGTATGGGGAGGGGAGAGCAAATCACCTCTCCAAAGCTCCCCTGGGAGTTAGGAACAGTCAGAAGCCAGACGTCGGAGTTTCCCACACTGTTGTGCCATAGGACACAGTGCATTTTGAATTCCAGATTTTCAACAGCTTCAGTAAGATTTTTAATTCATACCCGCAGAAAGCAATTAATTCTATAAGGACAGTTAAATGTTAGTGCCAGCTCTGCATCTCCACACTAGCTGTGTGACCTTGAGTAGGTCATCTGAATTTCCTAGAACCTGGAGTTCAGTCAGATATATGGGGTTCCTTCCAGATTTAATGCTCCATGATCCTGAGGATGATAATTTACCTTGTAACTTGATAGACTTCTTAGGGACAAGGCCCATGCATAGAACCTGACCCCAGATTACTGTCTTAGGATGCCCAGGGAAGGGCAGGAGGTGGGTGGCCATGCAGAGGCAGTACAACTGGAGACTTCCACAGATCAGGCCAATGGAACTTCCTGGACGTGGAGGTGGAGGCTGAGAGTAGCCTGCAGCATGAGTAGGTCACTTGAGGGTCATGACTCAGGTAGTGCCAGGCAGGTGGGAGGAGGAGGGAGTTGAGCCTGGCACAAGAACTGCGCCGGTCATGGCAGGGCACTGGAGGCCTGGTGTCCAGGGGCGGCCCATTAACCTGCAGCCTCAGTCATCAGCCAGCGCACACCACAAGGGCTGAGATGAGGGAGCAGGTGCCAGGCGGTGGTGGAGAGCTGTGGCAGGTGCACACCCCTGCACTTTAGCGCAGCTAACGCAGGCTTCTGGGCCCCAGGCAGTGCTCAGTGCTCAGGAAGAGGGTGCCAGTCCTAGGGGGGCTGGGAGCTGGGTGGGGAGTCAGCCTTCCCTGAGCAGGGACCTGGCAGCCCTGCAGTACCACTCTAGTAGGTGGTGAGGGGTCATGGGGAACCCTGCTGCCCCCGGCCTGAGCTGGGAGGTGAGGAAGGGTGGGGGCGCTCACAGTAAGAAACCTTTGCAGCTGGGAGACTGAGCAGCTATGGGACTTCCCGCTTCAGTTGGGGCTGGCTCCAGGGCAGGGCAGGCCTGAGCATGGAAGGGAGAGGTACCCCCAGGCCCAGTCCAGAGATTCCAGGAGGGCCGAGCCAAGGAGATGACGCAAGGACAGCCGATGAGCAACTGGTTCTCCCTGGTGTACGCAGCTGCTCCAAGTCCTTCATCTCTGCACAAGGCCCTCCCCCAGCCGGGTGTTCACTCTCCGAGGCAAGTCAGTCGTCAATCTCACCACTTATTCCTCAGATCTTCAAGAATGCAGTTAAAGCCCATCCCTCTAAATAAAAGATTCCCAAACTTTGGGTTTCTCCAGCTGTCTCAAAGAATTGTGTAAATATTTTAAGTTGTTTCAATTTGAAAAATAAGGAAATAAACAAGTTTACTAGTGACAGAAGTGTTTAGAAGCATCTCTCCCAATCTATACTTGTAGCAACAGCTACGATGTGTGCTCATGTTGACATGTCCTTTATCCAGATGGAGAGGGTAGCAGTGTCTGGTCCGATCATGCCAGCATTTGCATTGTGCACCTATTTTTTAGTTTCAGATCTTAGCACAGTGTTTTTGGCTGTGCCCGGTGGGTATCCATACCAGAGGCCCTCCGCTGAGCTATGGAAGGTGTCTGCTTACCCCTTTATTTAATTTCCATTCTCCCACAAGATTACAGTAGAAGTCTGTTTTCTTTAATAGGATTTTCCATAGCCACACAGTCATTTTCTTTTTGTAATCACTGCTCTGTTTTTCGTCCTTTCTTGTTTTAGTTATTTTCTTGACTTCTCAATTACTCTGTAGGATTCGAGATAGACAAAGAGCACTTTTGTAATGAACATGTCTTAATGTCCTAAAGTTGGAAATCCGCAGAAGAGTGGAGATTTAGGGACGGGGTGACGCAGACCAAGCAGAGCCCTCCCACTGGGATTCACCACCCCTCGGGAACAGTCCCGGGCCTTCCACCCCCAGGCGATCAGGGTTTCCGGGGCTTCCCCCCTTGCACACTGGGGGTCCCTCTCCCACAGGGAGCTTCTGCTGAGCAGCCTGGTCCCAGGCAGCTGGTCTTACGCAGAAATGACTTTAGTGCCACCTGTAGCGATCTCGGGGTCTAAACTGTCCACAGGGACATTATGGCAATTCTCATCTCACTGTTCATTGGGCACAGATTTCTGCAGATCAGCCGTTTACGTCAGCCCTAAGTTTCGTTTCTTGGTGTTCCCAGGCACCGACCCTGGTGAAACTTTCCTTTAGGTCTTCTGGTTAATCAGCAGAACTAAGACTGCTCCCGCCCAGCCCACCACCCCTCCCGCCCCCCCCAACCCTCCCCACCATACTGCTCCTCTCTACACAGACATGGAATGGCCACTCAGAGGCACAACTGAGCACAGCCATGGAACTTCCCCAAGTCAGTTGCCCTTCCTTGGGGATGCATTTTAGGACAAGGTTCCAAGGGAAATTCTCTCTGCAACCCTACCTCACCCCACCCCGTCCCCAGCCAAGCATCACCAGCCTACCTGGAAAGCAGGGAGCTCTCGGCATTATTCTGGCCTCTCCAGTCTCCCAGAACTGTCACTAGTACAATGTTAGGTTAGCAAAGCTGTTCTAAATCCTCCATTGGCTCCTAGCACCCACCAAGCAGAGTCTCAATGCAGCCCGTCTTCCCCACCTTCTAAGCCTGCCTTGCAGCCACGTACATGACACTGCCCTCAGTGTGTTACCTCCATCTGTGTTCTTCCCTCCCCTGGGCTGCCGCATCCCTCCCCTCACCCACACATCCTACCTGTTCTTCAAGGCCCGACTCAGATGTCACCTCTCCTCTAGGTTCATCCTCCCATAGCTCTGATCACATGCCACCTCCCAACGTCTTTTTCTGGCTCCTCCTCCTGGCCCTTAGTGATGGGGTTTTCTCTGCTCACTTTCCCTGGGTGGTCTCATTCATTCGTGGCTCTGGCCACCACCTCTACTCCAGCTCCCCCTGGAGCTCTGGGCCTGCGTTCCAGACACCCTGAGACAGCTCACCTCACTGTCCCTCACATCCTTCACGTCCCACATGCCCAAAATCAGGCTTGTAATTTTTCCTCATCCTCTCCTCGAATCCTCACCCTCCTCCTGTCCTGAGGACCATGGCTCTGTGGGGTGCCTGTTATGTGTTATGATGCATATGGGAAGCCATCTTGTTTGTCCCTCTGGTGCAGTTCTAAATGGCATGTCTCACTGACATATACCCCTTCAGGTACATGCCTACATCATCAGCTACCTGAAGAAGGAGATGCCCAGCGTATTTGGAAAGGAAAACAAGAAGAGAGAGCTCATCAGCAGGTTGCCAGAAATCTACATCCAGCTGCAGCGGGAGTACCAGATTTCCGCCGGGGACTTCCCCGAGGTCAAGGCCATGCAGGTACTGGGAGCCCATTACAATGTCAGGGAAGGGGGCGGAGAGGCACTGCCACCCTGTCCGGCTGGTTGCTGAGTCCGCTTGAGGGTTCCATGGTTTAGGATGGAGACCGCAGTGAATTCATCTTCCCAATGCTGATCCGTGATCATAGGCTCCTGTGAATAAAGGAGAAATTGCCTGCCTCCCAAAACATTTAAGCAAAAAGGGACACATTTCCAGAAGTAGATTAAGCTTGTTACCAAACCTGAAGTGAGTTTGCTCACCCATTGCGCAGCAAGCCAATCTCTGACACCGGGGGTGGTGGAAGAAAGTAGGAACTTTATTTCTGCACAGTGCTGAGCAAGGAGAGAGGGCAGCTAACGCTGAAATCCCAAACTCCCCAAAAAGCTAAAAGGAAGGGTTTTTATTTGGGGCTTGAGGTAGGGGAGGGGAAGCATATGGCCTTGCTGGTCAGAGCTTTCCCACCAGCCTGTCTTTGGCCTTGAGACACTTGCAGAGAGGTGGGAACTCATGACCTTGCTGGTCAGCCGCTTTCCCACCAGCCCGTATCTCTTTGCGGGAGGAGATAGTCCAGGTGCTTGTCCTTGGCGGTGTCTGTCTCCATGGAGGATAGTGGATTCTGGAGCCAGGAAGCCAGAGAGTAAGCAGGGAATGAGTGTTTTGGTTTTAACCCCATATATGCTGAGTTTAATGTGGGGAAACTGATATCAGGGTCGATATCAAGCTCACATGAAAAAGTCAGATGAGCAGCCCTCTCAGACTATGTTCAAGGTTGATTTGACGTTGAGGCGACACCTGTTCTGCAGAATCCCGGAACCTTAAGGGAATTAGAGCTGAGAGGGACCTTGAAGGTCACCTCAGGCGGTCTCCTCAAGCCAGCCCTGCCCAGCGCTGCCAAGCGCTGTGGGATTATGTGCTCAGGCAGCGTTGCTGCTGCAGGCTCAGGGGCCCAGACAGAGGGATGGGGGTTTGTGGACATGGCTGGACTTTGCCGGACACAGCAAGCTGTGCTCACTGAGGATTTTGCTTAGAGGTCAGCATTGGGCAGCCTTTGGCCTGATTTCAGGGTCTCCCTGAGCTGTGTCGGGCAGCCTCAGATGAGCCCGATTGGGTGCTGCATTCAGCTGCTTTGGCCTGACCAGGGTGTCCACCCCGCTACAGTGGTGTTAGATGCCCATAGCCATACTGACCATGTCTTCCCGAGCGAGGCCATTCCACCTGGCTCCTTCCAGGGCCAGACTGACCACTTTCTTGTCCAGTGCAAGAAGCCAGCTGCACTGGAGGCCACAGTCCTCTCTGGAAAGCAGGCAACATCAACTCAGATGCCTGCAGCCAGCAGCTGGTAGCGTGAACAGGCAGGCCACGCAAAGAGAAACCATGCCGCCCTCTCTGACCACCTTATTCTCTGACCTGTGATAGAGATGTGGGTTCCAATAGTCTCTTCCAGGAAGAAAACAATTCTGCGAGTGCAATGGGAACTTGTGGGGGCAGACGGCGGGGGTGGGGTGCAGACAGGGGAGGGCAGGCCCCACCTCGGTGAGAAGTCCTGCCCTGCCAGTGGCCGCTGCCCTTTGGGACCGTGGGCCTGAATGGTTCCCCAGAAGCTGGAAATCTGGATTTGTACGTAAAGTCACCTGGTTTTCAAATTTTGGCTCAAACTTCCAAAGAATACTATGTAGGCTGGACCAAGCAGGCCTGCAGCCTGGCTGCACCCTGGAGACGGGTGACGGCCTTCTGCTTTGAGCCCCAGAGAGAGACGGCACTGAACGGAGAGTTCAACTTAAAATACGCAGCTGGGAGGCCGGGCCTGTGAGCTGCCTGCCTGCCTCAGGAGGGGAGAGGAGGAGGAGGAGGAGGAGGAAGAAGGGTCAAGCAGTGGAGGCAAGGATCGAGCGGCTGCAGGAGGGGAAGCTTCCATCCTGAGGGTGTTGTTAATGTAAGCCTTATGGAAAGGAGACACTCAGACAGGAGTGGGTTACACTTACCATCTTGATGGCAGGGCTCAGGGTGCCTGCATCTGGGATGTATGATCTGGTCAAATGCGATTTAATTGGCTTCAAAATAAATACAGAAACATCTTTTTCTTCTAGAAATAGGTATTCGCATCCTCAGAGAATGAATCGGGGTTTTTATTGTAGTCACGAGACAGTGCGTTTGCAGGCTCCTGGGGCCTCTTGGAGTGGCCTTCCTGAGCAGGCTCCACTTTCACACCCTCGGTTGTGGCCTGCACGCCATGACCAAACTGAAAGACAACTGTTTCCTTGAATCCTTCAGATATTTTTGAAGGGAAATGGGTTTCTCGACTGAAATGAAAGCTATGAATAAATACTCAATGCACACTAGGGCCTAATGGGGCTTCTGTGGCTCATTAGCCTAAAGAGGCTACCACGGTGACCCGTCCACAAAGAGATGGGGCTCCCGAGAACTGAGCCACCACCTAGCCCATCAGGGGGCCACTGCACCCTCCCTTTCAGGGCTTCACTGGCCCGTCCCCAGGTGAACCCCATAACATAGGGAGCCAACTCTGCGACCAGAGCTGCTCGTGGCCACGTTAGCCTCCGCCTGGCTGGGTCAGAGGACATCCAGGCCTCTCAGAGCTGGGACAGAGGGTCAGTCCCTGGGGAAGAAAACAAGGAAGCTGTGTGCCCCCTCACCTCAGGTGCAGCCACGGCCCGTTTAACTGGATGATACAGGAAGGGCCCAAACCTTCATTGAGAACCCTGTGGGTCAGGCCCCACCCCTGGTGCCTCAGCACCTTCACAGACCCCTGAGCACCCTAGGGCTGGGAGCGAGGAGTCCCACCTGACAGGTGGCCCGTGGCCCTGTATTCATTTATTCATTCATCTAAGAAATATCAATTAATCCTTCTATGGCCAGGCACTGTTCTAGGCCCCTGGAAGAAGTCCATGAGCAAAAATGAACCAATAACAAAAATAAAAACCCTTGGCCCTGTGGAGCATCCATTTAGGGTCACGGTCTCTGCCACTATGGCTGTGGCTGGCAGTGAAGTTTTGGCAGCAAAGCCCCTTGTTGGGACGTGTGCTCCATGTTATGACACAGCACTGTTGTGCTTTAGTGTAATTAATTAATTAACGTATTCAGTGTCTACTATTTAGTGTCTCTCTCCTGTTTTAGGCTGTGGTTCCATGAGACCGGTGACCCAGGTCCTGTTCACGGCCGTATCCCCAGCACCTGGGGTGTCGCAGGTGCTCAATAAGGAGGCGTTAGCGAGTTAATTAACAAGCGAGTGTATGTTTGTATCGTAGCAGGCTCTAGGGCAGTGAGTTTCTGAGACCCTGACCCAGCCCTGACTCCCACAGGGCTTATTGACCAGCGGTTTCCCGAGCAGACCCCTGGAAGCTGGAAGAGGATTCTTCCTTGGGAAGCCGGCCAGACCCTGATCACACCACCCCAGTCCCTCAGGGAATGCCCGCTTAACATGGCATGCCTGGAGTCTGGAGGGCTGCTTACTGGCATCTGATGCTTCAGGCTGGTTTGCTGTCACCCAGGAAGCTTTGGGGGGATCATGGTGTGGGTCAGGGCCTCTGTCATCCCTGAGTCCGATGAGCATCTGACATCCCCTCCAACACAGGCCTTCAACCTCCTATCGACTGTGTCTGGGACAGCCGTGGGGGCATATGCTTAGCGATGACTTTATTATGATCTTTGTACATCTCAGGGTCACTCGGAGAGCTCACTGATGCCAGCCTTAAGTCTCTCTTTTGCTGAGCTCTCGTGGACCAAGGTGACCAGGGCACCTCTTAGCCACAGCAATCAGCCAGGTGTCTTTTGAAGGCTTTTGGCTGGTGCAGGGAGAGGCCCACAACCTGCTAGTGAATCTGCCTGCGCCTGCCCTGCACGCTCTGGGGAGGGAATCTAATTTACTGCACGGATGTGTCTGTACTGGAGATTGAGGCGAGCCCTGGCGAGGCCACCTTGATTGCTGACTTAGGTGTCCTCCTGCTCGGACAATTTGGCCCCCACAGCTGATGAGTTGGCAGCTTTTCAACAGCAGAGGGCAGCAGAGCCATCCCCATCTGCTCAAACCCTCCCGTGGATTTGAAACTACTTCTGGAGAATGTTGGCAGTAAGTGGGCAAGGGACAGTCCCGGGCGGCTGGGCTGGAGGCTGTGGTGAAGGAGCAGTTCCAGAATCTGGGGCTTGGTGGCTCTGACGGATATAATTGCTGACAGGAAATCTTTAAATTCCCCAGTGAGTATTCATCCCAATAATAAGACTTCTGTTCTGGAGTCACCCTGTGAGGGGCAGAGATGGCAGTGGTTTACCTTGTATCCCATACTCCCTGTGAGCCCTTGGGAGGCGGGTACCCCAGGGATCAGAGTGTAGGGCTTATTTCCCAAGTGCCTCTGGGGCGGGAATGGCTCTGCTCCTTCCTGTCCACCCCTACAAATATGTGCCCATTTCCTCTTGCCAGTTTTCCAGAGGTTTGCAGTCTGAAGCCACGTCCCCTGCACAGGGTGGAAAGTTTGGGCGGGCACCGCCCTCATTCATCCACTTGGCCAGACACAGGGGCCCTGTGTGTGCTCAGAGCTCGGGCTCCTTCATGAGGAAATAGGGTAGGTGTTCATGCACCCAGGGGAATCCAGACTTGTTTACCCCAACAGCACTCGGATTTTTGTGTAGGCTGCCTGCCCTCCGCCTCCTGAGCTTTCTCTTCTCAGTTCCCTTAGCTGACTGAGATGTTGGCAGCAGGAGCCCAAAGTGTTGGCAGCATTGTTTGGTGCTGATGTTGGGGGATGTGCAGGTGCCTGTGGTCTGTGAGTGAGGATGGAAGACACACAGACCGGAATGCACTTTAGAAACCAGGCCTGCGCTACCCGAGCCGTCCGAGCTGAGTGCGAGCTGCATGCTGGGTGTTGGCCCAGCCCAGCATGGTTTGACAGCCGCAGAGTTTCCTACTGAGAAGAGTGTTGGAGGTGCCTCTCTAGAGAGATGTCAGGCTGGTTAGCTTTCAGCTCTGTCCCCTCCACCATTTAAAGCTCAGGGCTCCACTTCTAAATAATAGCACAGAACATCTGCCCTGCCAGTACACCCTAGAGACCACAATTTTGATTCTCTGTTGAGAACAAGCTAAGTGTCCAACTACATGGGACAGAGTAAATAGAGTGCAGTACTATGTAGCTATCAAAAATAAGGCTGTATAAAAATTAATGTCACAGAAAGATATACCTTATTTCTTAAAAATGCAAGTTATTAAACAATGTGGCCTTATTTCAGTTAAAGTGTGTGTGTGTTTATAAAAATAGCCAGAGGGGCCAGCCTGGTGGTGCAGCAGTTAAGTGCGCACATTCCACTTCGTTGGCCTGGGGTTCGCCGGTTCGGATCCCGGGTGTGGACATGGCGCGGCTTGGCGAGCCATGCTGTGGTAGGCGTCCCACATGTAAAGTAGAGGAAGATGGGCACAGATGTTAGCTCAGGGCCAGTCTTCCTCAGCAAAAAGAGGAGGCTCGGCAGCAGATGTTAGCTCAGGGCTAATCTTCCTCAAAAAAAAAAAAAAATGCTAGAAATGTATGCCAAAAAATGTCAGCAGAGGTTATTGCTAGGTGAGGGTATTACAAGTGATTTAAGATTTTTATTTTTGTTTACCACTTTTTTCCCAGATTTTTACAATAAAAGTGTGATATTTATGGCAGCATAAAGTTTTCTTTTTTCCCAACTGCCTGTCGCATTACTTCTGTCCAAAACAGTCAGGTCTGAGGGATATATGAAACCTCTTTTCCTCGACCCTCCCTGAGACATCTCCAGGAAATTGCAAGCCTGGCTGGTCCCTCTCTGGCCATCTAGGATTGTCCGAACAGAAATATACTTCACAGAGAGTCCATGTAAAAACTGCTGCACCTGGAATTTTCTGCATTTATTTGGCAAAACTGCTGTTGAAGACATTTTTCAATGAGGCCCTGCTTAAAGAGCCCCAGGTGACCCCCACAATTCAGGGCCAGAGAAAGCTTGTCTCTCGCGATGACCAGGTGGTTTCTCCCTCAGCGAGGGGTGTGACCGCTAGGGACCCCAGCCGGGACAGCTGAGGAGCAGTGGCTTTTCTCACCTGAGTAGTCTGATGTGAGGAGTCACTCCTTCTTGCTTTTAATTACTTGGCTTTTCCTTTTCTCCTGACTTTCTTCTGTTTCATGTTATTTTTTCACTGTAAGCTAAGTCAAGCCCTTTTTGAAGGTAGACAGGAACTAAAAAACTAGAAAGTCCTTCCTTTATTATGACATAACCTCCCTGAGGGCAGAGGCCACGGCTTTTCTTGTTTATATCCCCAAGCCCCAGAACAGGGCCTGGCACAAAACAAATGACCAATAAATGTTGGGTGGATGGATGGATGAAGATGGATGGACGAAGGATGGATAGATGGATGGATGGCTAGATGGATGACTATATGGATGGATGGAAGATGCATGGATGAGTAACCAAGGAGAACCAACGTAGGAAGGAAGGACTGTTTCCACAGAGCCTCTGTGGCCTCTACAGTTGGCTCCTGTCCCAACCAGGCTATTGCTGTGTCTCCTGGAGCCATCTTCCAAGCCTGAGGTCCTGCAGCCCTATCTGCCAACGGGCCAGGTCTCCTGGGAGGTGGAGCCAAGACCTGCCTGGACCTGGCTAGTGACACAGCCCTATTGGCTGGATTTATACTCGCTCTCCCCATTCCTACTCCTCTCCCCCTTACCAGTTTCAACTTTTACTTATTTGTACCCTAAACTACATTTTTTTAACTGATCCCAAAACAATGTCCTTCAATAATTGTTTTACCTAGGTAAGTCCCTCTGTCACAGCTTCACGTTACGGCACAAAGAGCACTAGTCAAGGGCAGGTTACATGATCTCTAGTCTTGACTCCACCAGGACGCCTCAAGTGCTTTCTGTAAAACGGGGTTATTAGTACCTGCCCTTCCTTATTCCTATCATTGTTGTGAAGATCAACTGAAATATGTTGTAAAATCACCTTAAAAGATAAAATACTAAATCTCTAGAGCTCTAAAAAAAGGCAGGATGAAGGCAGCTGTCTCCAAGCCCTAGAGGATTGCTGCCCCTCATGCTGCCGCCAGCAGAGATCAGCTCCTAGAAGAAAACGTTGCATCCCAGGTGTCTTGTTTCTGGTCCCAAAAGCCACTCCTGTATCTGGCGAGTTTGGATGTGGAGACCCCACTAAAGAGGGAGCTCTGGGACAGCCCAGGGTCTGAGATGTCCCCTTTAAGGGAGAATTCATCTCCGTCCAGCTATCCCTCTCTCTGTTCACTTCCCGACAGGAGGGCCTTGACCAAGTCTGTGGTCTCTCCTTTTGCAGGAACAGCTTGAGAACTACGACTTCACCAAATTCCACTCGCTGAAGCCCAAGCTGATCGAGGCCGTGGACAACATGCTGAGCAACAAGATCTCGTCCCTGATGAGCCTCATCAGCCAGGAGGAGATGAGCATGCCCACGCAGCTCGTGCAGGGCGGTGCCTTCGACGGCACCGCCGAGGGCCCCTTCAACCAAGGCTACGGGGAGGGCGCCAAGGAGGGCGCCGACGAGGAGGAGTGGGTGGTGGCCAAAGACAAGCCCATCTACGACGAGCTCTTCTACACCCTGTCGCCCATCAATGGCAAGATATCGGGCGTCAACGCCAAGAAGGAGATGGTGACCTCCAAGCTGCCCAACAGCGTCCTGGGCAAGATCTGGAAGCTGGCCGACTGTGACTGTGATGGCATGCTGGACGAGGAGGAGTTCGCACTGGCCAAGCACCTCATCAAGATCAAGCTCGACGGCTACGAGCTGCCCAACAGCCTGCCCCCCCACCTCGTGCCTCCCTCTCACAGGAAGTCCCTGCCCTGAGGGGCAGGCCGCACACGGGGTGGGGGGTGGGAAGTGGGGGACCTGGGCCTGAGGCCCACACTGCCGTTGACTCACTGAGTGACCCTGGGCAAGGCACTGCCCTCTCTGTGCCTCCATTTCCCCATCTGTAGAATGGGGAGGGCAGACACTGGACACTAGATGAGGTCCTTTCACCTCTAAAATTTCCTGAGTTTCTATTATAATATTGGAGAGAGGGGCTGGATAAGGAGATTGAAGGGTTGAGAAGAAAGAGAAATTAACCAAAGAGTACTGAGATGTCCGGGGAGGTGCAGATGGGGAGGTGGGCTTTGTGGAATCCCAGAGCCACGGGGAGCGAGCTGGGGGCTCTGCTGGGGCAGCCGAGGCTGCTGGGCTTCCCTGGACCACTCATCATCGTGAACCTCTCTGTCCCTCAGAGGGCACTGGGAGGGAGCAAAGATGATCTTATTTGTTTCCTGCTATAGTCAGAGTGGAAAAAAACAGAGCAGAGAGGGTTTCTGTTCTGTCCAAACTCTGCCAAAGAGAAGGAGACTGCTGCCCCAGGTTTGAAAGGAGGAGGCGCGATGTCTGGGTGCCCCCCGTCCCTTCTGCAGCCTCGAGCAGAACACGCCGCCCAGCCAGCAACAGCCACTGTCCCAGCACCCCCTGACCAGCCCTCCCAGGGCCCCCTGACCCGGGCCCGCCCAGCAAAGTTGTATGCGGGTAGGAATTTGGAACTCACAGCCTTTATTAACCCCTGGCAAGATTTCTAGTATTCAAGTCATGTTGAAGTCTGAAGATTAGCTTTTCTTACTGGCCTGTCCAATACTATGTAGCAACGTCTATGTATCATACTTAATGACAGTAAGGAGAAGACGTGGCTCTCCTCAGGCCTCAGTTAGTGCAGTTCCCTGTCCCTAGGTCTCCTTGGTTGACGGCAGGATTTAAATTAAGCAAAAACACGTCTTGGTGTGTGCTGTGTCCTGGGCCTGTGGACACAAAGGGGAAAGAGAGGCCAGCCTGCCCCGGGCTGTCAGGTAGAAAACATCAGTCTACAAGCATTAGACACTATTTTTATAAAAAATAGGCATTTTTATTATGTCCAGTTTTTTTCTTACATAAAAGCCTTTATACAGAAACGGGATAGACTATTTCATATAAAACCTTTTCTTCGAAAGGCTGTGCAGTTGGTATCATGAATGCCCATCGCAAGGCAGGATTTGGGGACGTACCTGGACACTGGCTCCTGAGGGAGGGTCTTCCCCCATGTAAACCTCTCTGGACTGCTCGCTCAAGTGCCTGGGTCTAGTGGAGGGGCTGATGGTCACTGCCACCCTCCCTGACGTGTGGGCTCCAGCTTGGGGATGCACATGCCTTTCACCAGTATTTATGCAATAAAAGACAAAAGGATGACAGCTGATGGCATGGGGCCCTGCGGCATCAGAAATGAATGAAACCAGAACAGGTCCACCTGGGCCTTCCAAAACTACATATTTTTTTTTTCTGATGTCCCCTGTGACATCAGGGTCAGAAGTGCAGACTTAGGGAAGATTTTTCTTTTAGAGAAGCAGTTATCCAGATGCCAGCCCTCACCCTCCCAAGCTCACTTTCTAAGTCATTTTAAGAGAAGTAAATGCATAATATGGTTTTTAATCTTAATAAGCACTTTTAAATTAATTAGACACATAGAAAAAAGACGTTTGTAATTCCAGTACTGTAATATGAGCAGATAGTTCTGTGAACGCCTGATGACTGCACAGTGAAGTCCACCGCAGGGCAAATAGAGAAGAGAGTTCATTTGTCCAAAGGTTTAGAGATGCCAAGGTAGCTGGTTTTCCATTCAGAATTATCTTGTTCCCTTAACTCAATAGTCATTTATAAACATCAATTGTCATATATAAAGATAAATATATACACATACGTATATCACATGAGTATGTATTTTTGACACTTGTCAACGTGTGTCTATGTAGATATGGCCAAGTTTTGTCTACGTAGAGACGTAGGAAAGCTGTCTTAGAGGGCCAGCAGACTGTTTCTGGTTTCTACGTGGAAGGAAACCTCTCATGGTGTGACCCCTACCCCCATGCCCTCAGGTGGGAGAATGTCTGGCAGCTGAATCCTTTCCCTGCTGGGGGGAAGAAAAAAAAGTCATGTGTCCATTTTTCTTAATTTCTTCTCTTACGACATGAAGTCATTCATCATGAAAAGTTGATTGGAAAGAAAAACGCTGGAAAATATTATGAGGGATGGCGGCCAAGTGAGGACCCGTATCTTCCCAGGACCCACACAGAGTTCCTTGGGTCTGTGTCCATAGCACCCCCACCTTGTCCCCCCGCAGTGGGGTGGCCGAGCCCTCTCGGAGCTGTTCCCCTTGACCGGCCATGTTGCCCCTTACACCCCAGTTTTCAAAGTGCCCTTCCCCAGAGTGTTTACGGATGGGCAGGAGGGTGGAAGTAGATGAACTCTAGCTCTGTGAAACTATCTTCATGCTCTCCATGGTTCCACAGGAGAAAAGCTAAGGATCTTGAATCTATTTTCTACACAGCACATGTATGGCATGACACAAACTTCTGCAGCCTTGAGTTTAGGGGAGAAAAATGAAAACTTCAGCCTACTTCTCCCAGAGTCGTCTTCCTAGTTGTCAGCCTGGTAATGAGGCCCTCTTGAACCTACCTGTAAGGAAATGTCGCCCTAAGACCTGCCGAAGCCCTAGCTCCAGGGTCCCACGCAGCCGTCCAGCCTGCCTCGGCCTCATGCCCCAGCCCGGCCTGGGATGTGGACTCTTTCCTTGCTGCGCGCTTGCATGGCCCAGGACGGGGTCACTCTTCCATGGGGAGGCCGTTCATTCAGTTGGCTCTCGCTTCTTCAGGGCGGGGCTGGGTTCTCTCTGGGACATGTTACACAGCAATAGCACCTTTGGATTTGGGGCAATGTTCCTCCCACAGGATGGTGGGCTGGAGGAGCTGGATTCTGTGTCATGGGACTCAGTGTCCAGGTGGGCCAGAGAGCATGCAAGGAGAAGCAAAATGCCTCCTGCTCTCCCCTAACACTGCCCCCGCCCCCATTACCAGCCTGCAGGAGAGGCCTCGGCAAAGCCCTGGCCCCACTGCCCTGACCACAGCCCTTTCTGCTGTCCGCTGGGTCTCCTAAGGAGCCCCGCCCACCACACCGGGAAAGTCTTATACTGGAGTCCAGCGCCCAGGGTGGGGTTTCACCACCAGAGTCATGGCCTGACAGCCCCAGGTGGACCTGTCCACTTTGCACCTTACACTCTGTCATAATGCCCTCGGCACCTTGCCTTGAAGATGGGGAGAGCGTTTCGCAGAGGCACTGTTGATTTCCTCCAGGGAGTGTGGCAGAAGAACATTCTTAGGACAGATAACCACTGAGTTTATTCAGATAAACGTGGGTCTAATTTCAGAGTGTATCAGATTACATGTCAATTAGCCGATGCGGTTAATACACAGTGCTTCTATTTTTTTGTAATCTTGTTTTGAAGTGTCAAACAAACAGGATGCAGTCTACTGATCAATAAACTTCTGGAAAAATCAGACCTTCACCCCATCGGCTCTGGTTTCCAGTGACTGCGTGCCAGCTGTCTCAGGAGTGGAGCGGGGGTCCCTTGGATCCATTCTGAATGAAGCAGAGGAGTCAGGGAGGGTGCGCCCCTTCTGTGTGCCGTCCCTGTGACCCACTACCCGTCCTGTGTCCTCTCTGGGTGGCTTCTTTAACAGGAAAGCAGCTCCATCAGCTGGGGGCAGAGGCCAGGTCCGGGAGCAGGCCCCCAGGGAGGCTCAGGTCCCAACTCAGAGTGACTGGAAGCTAAGACTGGAGGGGGCCATGGAGGTGGACCCTTCTGAGGCAGGGACAGGGCATCACTGAGCACTCTCCAAGGAGACCAGCCCACCGTGACGTCCTCTCTCCAGTGTTCGGGCAGGCCCATGCATCTGAAGGTGCAGTCCTGCTAAGGTGGAGCCCCCAGGCTGGCTACCACTGCCCCTGCCTCTTGCCACACATCACAGGTGTGGACCACCCATAGCAGACATCCAGGTTTTTCCCACTAGCGCACATCTGCCCTTTTGGCATTCCACACCTGGAATTTACTTTGCAGAGCACTCCCTGCTTTCCCATCCTCAGTCTAAGCCTTGAGGTTTGGGTGAGATAGACCCCCATCTTTTTCTAGGGTGGGTCCTAATTGGCTTAAGCCAATTAGAGTATTTCATCCCCCTGGTCACAGAAATTGGTTCAGGAATGGACATGTAGCTCAATTCAAGCCTATGAGAGCCAGGCCCCTCAGACTTCTGTTCCAACTCTTGAGAGAGATGTTCTCTCTCTCAGAACCATGCAGTGGAAAGAAGTGAGTCTATTGGTGCAACAGTATAAACAACATTGAGGGGAGTGTCCAGAGCTGCTGGGAGTAGGGGAGTGAGGTTAGACTGACAGCAACCACCCTGAGGAAGATGAAGATGAAGGAGGCATTGAGAAAGGCAGAGGGAATCCAGGTGGTATCATTTGAGCTGCTGGATCAAACCTTACCTAAAGTCCTCCTCCTGCCAGACTTTTCAGTTACATGGGTCAATGCATTCCCTTTATGTTGTTTAAACCCATTTGACTTGAGATTTCAGTTACTGACAATGTACATAATCCAAAACTATGTACTGACCAATGGGGATTTCAGCAGGGGCTGCAATCAGTTACTGCAAAAGAGGAGCAGGTCCTTTCAGCGTGTGCAATGGCTTTAGCTACAGTTGAGCTAAGAAGGAAGAAAAGCACTTCCAAGCCCCACTCAACAACCTCAAATGAAACAACCTCTGTTGAGATCTCTGTGCAAAGCGTCCTGCAGCTCCATCCTGTCCTCTGGTGGCCACATCACACAAGATGCCTGGGGCAAGGGTCTTAATAGGAGGAGAAACAAGCTTACGGGGGCAGGAGAGGGGACTTCCTAGAAGAAGCAGGATTTTAACTGGGGCGGATAGGATAGAAGAATGTGGGCACTGGGGAGCAGAAGGGGCATTCTAAGCTGAGAGAGGGAACAGCTGAGCCCAGGTCTGGGCAGGAAAGCTCTGGTCCTGTCCAGGCAATGGGGTGTCTTCATAGGCGTGAGCAGAGTTGTGCTCTGGGAGGTAAGTCTGAGGACCGTGTGTAGCTGAGGAGCAGGCAGGATGATGAGCTGGGGACCGGTGATGAGCCAGATTCTTCTTCTCAGATCTCTGGCAGCAGATTGGCAGCTGCGTCTTGGGATGAACAGGGCAGGTGGAAGGAAAAAAGGAAACCACTCACCTTGGTGTTATCTGGGCCTGGGGAGGAGACCCGGCTGGACTGACGGAAATGGCAGATAGCAGGGGCTGTGTGGGGAGGGGAGAGAGAGCAGGAAAAGCCAAGAATCTGCAGGGGCGGTGAGCATAGACAGGGTGGGAGGGTGGACCGTGGAGCGCTGGGGACACACAGCGGCAGCCACTGGCAGCTGACTGGATCTGGGACTGCAAGCAAGGAGGAGGCTCGGGCTTATCCCAAGCATCGGGAAGACAGTGGCAGGAGGGACCTCGCAGGGAGAGGACAACAGACACAGGGGAGCTGCCCCACCCCAAGAGCACCGTGCCCCTCACTCTGAGCCCCCGCCTGGGGATCAGGTGTGGTTCCTCCTGCCCAGCTCTCGAGGGCAGGCTGCGGCCGCTGCTCCCCTCACTGGCTTCGACTGTCGAGGACCCCCCGATGAAGAGTGTTGCGTCTCCTCTCAGAGCCCCTGGGGCTGCCGGATGGATCGACCCACACTGCAGACACAGACACAGACACACACTGCAACCCAGTGACTGCTACCCTGAGTTGAGCCAGGTCGTTCTGTGACACCACCTGAGTTAGAACTCGCTCTCTCTGGCATGTAGCTTAAAGTTGCTCGTGGAGGGACAGAGAGGAGCCTGCTGGCCCCCTCCGCAGCCCCTGCCCCCAAGCCCGGGCCCAGCCGGCTCCGCGGGAGCACAGGGCCTGGGTGCCTCTCTGTGGAGCCCCCAAAGGTGAACATTGTGTCTCTGACTTTGTCATTTCCACAGCTTCTGCGGCACCAGGTTATCCCTTCCCAGGGGGAGCCCCCTTCAGGAAGTAGCCCCCAGGCATGAGGAGGCATGCACCTTCCTGTCCTGGGCTAGGTTGGATGCATTTCTGTCAGGGGGGCCTGGAAAGCCAAGCACAGGGTGTGTTGATTCCCCTCTGTCTATGGGGTGTTCCCCAGGAGAAGACGACAGGGCCACGGCCCAACATGCTCCCTCCATCCCCGCCCCTGCAGGTGTTCACAAAGAGGGCCTGCAGGGTTGCAGAAGCTTCTGACCAGAGGTGCCTTTAACCCAGACCGCAGCCCCCCACAGTACTCCCACCCAGAGCCAACTCAAGGCCATCCCATGGTCCTCTGCGTCTTGGGAGCCAGGACCCCCGGCTGACGTTGGGGGATGATGATGGAGGAGATCCTGGAGCAATGTCTACAGCATTCTTGAGCCGCCCCCTCCCAGTCTGGGCCACGCCCTGCGGCAGGTGGGAGGACAATGCCTTCTGTGTGCCGTCATCCCGGCCCTGCTTGCTAAAGAGGAGGACCATGGCGTAGCCCCAACTCCGGCCTCGGCCTTAGCCTCTCCTCCCCACACAGCCCCTGCTATCTGCTATTTCCGTCTGTCCAGCCGGGTCTCCTCCCCAGGCCTGGACATCACCAAGGTGAGCCGTTTCCTGTTCTCCTTCCACCTGCCCTATTCATCCCAAGAAGCAGCTGCCGATCCAGAGATCTAAGAAGAAGAATCTGGAAAGTGGGGTGGGGTGAAAGGGTCCCTGGGACATTCAAGCACAGGGCATCAGCCAGAGCCCCAGAACCTTACCTGGCTAGGCTCCAAGCTTCGATCCTCCACCAAATGTGGGGACAGTCTGGCAGGGAGGGGCCCCCTTACCCCTGGCAGAGGCACACCTCTCCCAGGGAGTCATCCGTATCCATACTCCCCCCGCCCCAACATCTCCAGCTTAGGGAAACGTCTTGTGGTCCCTAGTCCCCAGAGGGCTGCAGGCCTGCTGGCTGGTCAGCCCCATAATCCCCAGCAGCTCCTTGGGGCTAAAGGACACCTGAAGCAGGGGGCCAGGGACGGCTCTCCTGGTCCAGTCCCGCCATGGACTCTGCGTACGAGGTGGGCCACGTTCGCAAGCTGCAGGCACGGCACATGCGGGTGCAGGAGAAGACTTTCACCAACTGGATCAACAACATCTTCCAGCACGGCCAGGTAAGTGTAGCTGGGTGTGCACCACAGCCCACCTGTACCATGCCCACAGCTCCCTGGCCAGTGGACCCTGGGGGGCTGACTGTGAGGTCATCCACTAAGGTTTCTCTCGACCCTAAAGCACAGCTAAAGCCAACGTTCCCTCCTCAAGGCAGCTGCTCTGGGCTCTGCCCCTCATATCCTGGGATGGGGCAGACAGGTGAGGCTGGGCTGACCCTGTGCCTTCCCCGATTCCCTCCCAGGTTGGCATCAAAATCCAGAACTTGTACACGGAGCTGGCCGATGGCATCCACCTTCTGCGCCTGCTGGAGCTCATCTCCGGGGAGGCCCTGCCGCCCCCTAGCCGGGGCCGCATGCGCGTGCACTTCCTAGAGAACAGCAGCCGAGCTCTGGCCTTCCTCAGGGCCAAGGTGGGCACTGGGGAGAGGGCTCTGGGCCTGGTGCTGGGGCGGGCAGCGGGGGCAGGCTGGACCACTAGATCATCTTTCCTTGGCTGGCCACAAGGCAGAGCAGAAGCTCTGGAGCCTGAATCCAGAAGCAGCAGCTGGGATACTGGGGGCCAGGAAGCAAAGCCCTTCCTTGCACGGTTCTCCCAGCTTGAAGCAGGAACAGCCATCATTCCTGGCGGGTGGGACTGAAATACGCCATTGACAGTGATGAGAGAATCGCAGGGTTCGAAGCTGAAGGACTGACTCTTAACCTTCCCTTTTCATAAATAAGGAAATTATTTACCAGGCAAGACCCATGGTCAACTGGCCAGCAGAGTCCAGATGCGGGGCTGTGGGAGGCAGGCTGAGGGTAGGACTCGGGAAGAGCCCGGACACTGAGCCAGGCAGTGGAGGGAAGAGACACAGGCTCTGCCTTGGAGAAGCTGGACCAGATAGCAGGGAGGGGCTCAGCCAACAGGAGGGACCCTGAGAGAAAGAGACGAGCCAAAGAAAGAGTCACTAAAAGGAGGCAAGAGCTCGAGGGACACGGAGGGACCCTTGTGCCCAGTGTCAGGGGGCTGTGCATAGGTCATTTATACTGAGAACCGGGAACTGGGAAGCCACAGCTCTCCTGGCCTCAGGTACTGAAGCCGGGAGGTGGCTGTTCCTGGAGGCTGGGAAGTCACCGACCTGGAACTGGCTGGGCTGAGCCTGACTGTGTGTGTGCCGGTCACTCATGTCCTGGAATGGAGGTCACAGTCAGAGCCCTGGGTGCTGATATGCTGGAGGGTGGCCAGGGAGGTAAGAAACCAAAGCAAAGGACAGGAACACTGTGGTCCCCGAGCACACAGAAGAGCAGAAAGCCACCAGCCACAGAATGCCAG